ATTCTCGCCCTAAACAATCTTAAAAGAAGTTTTTTAATCCGCTTTGATTAATTACGTTTCGTCACAGACTGGAGCCTTGAAATGTTCTTGATGAATTATGATGTCGGCGTTATCTCAGTGCAAGTGAGATAATAAATGTACCAACACGATTACAAAGTGTATGAAAAGAAGGCGTCCACGCCACCGGTTGTCTATATCTTTAGATGTCTTCATGCGGCTTTACACAAAAGAATCGCTTCTAGGGGAAAATGACGCCATTATTTAGAATCTTTGGAGTTAAAAGGAGCAAAAAAACTCGTTTCTATTGAAAACTCTGCGGATGGGCAATTTCAACTCAACTATGGTCCCATCAAAGCTATCAATTGTGTTTAATTCTGATTATGTAAATTCCCGATCTCGTCCTATGATTATCGTTACTACAACGCTACAAGCTTTGTCGAAAATGCAGCGATGTATTTGGTAGGAAAGAGAGAAAAAGAGTCGAAATTGCAGACAAGGCAAGATGTCGCAATATGAAAGAATAGTTGACGATCATTAAGATCTCTTCAAGTCTGGTTTTCTTGATTAAAAAAGGAATGGACAAAGAAGTTTGAGAAAAATGGGGCAGTCCCGAAAGAAAGGGGATAGCCGCCGTAAATGTTACAAAGCGAGAGAAAGATCGATACGCTCCCTGATGTGTGGTCGTATCTGCGCCGCTCCCGATTTCTCGCACCATTGTTATAAGTATAACCAGTGATCAATGAAAAAATTATAGCGAAACTAGTTTTGTTGTTCCTAAGTGGGGGCCATAATCGATAGAAATATTTTATCAAGTATCACAAAAATAACACCGGTCGCACAACGAACTCTAAGTTCGATTATAAAAAACATTTTTAGTACATAGCATGTTTAGTAGGTAGATAGACTATGTTATTCATAAATCAAGTTGGTGCGGCTGAGTTGACCCGGCGCCTCCGCCAAATGTTTATTATGCGTTTATAATATTTTGATGCACGTGATTGAGAAACCAAATAGTAACGTGGAACTTAGATAATGTTCAATAAATTTTATTTCATACGTTTTTGTTTGTATGTGTTTTTTACAGTATCAGGTGATACAAAATCCTTTTAAAAATGGAAGACTCAAAAACATTTTTGGGGGGCTATATTCTCTTCCATCAGTACCGTAATCATTGTTTAATTTTTTGATGTATGTACGGTGTATAAAACAAATACCAGTTCTCCACAGTAATCCTAATGTAAAATTAAATCATAAATATTTGAGAAATACTGTAAGACAATCTGGCGAAAAAAGAAACACGATTGTTTGTACAACTCGGTTAGTCAGTGAGTAATGAACTAATGATTAATGAGGTTCTTCCAATTGTATTTGTGTTATGAAAACTATAATATAAAACTATAAATTATATCAGTACAAACAGATACGTAGAGAGGTGCGGTGGTTTTAAACAAAATGAATTTATTGTTGAAATAATTGAAATTTATACAATCGTTTGCAATTCCACAACAAAATATTTGATGATTTCAAACAGGTCAATAAAATTCAGATGATAAAACTCCAAGCAAAAATTGGTCTCATATTATTAGATAAAACTTCCCTCGGCCTTGAACTAATAAAGTTCAATAAATCCAGTTTCTTAGAAAAGTTATAAAACTTGATTCTGTGAATTATAATTTTTTTATGATAACCCCTATATATAAAAATAAATAGATGCGTGGACTGTTAAAGCACAGGCAAAGAAGTATGTTATGCGTAGTTTCAAATGAATTTTTTCCAAACAAAATTTTGTGATGACGTAATCAGGCACGTATATAGATTTATATTTCAATTTATAGATGTACAATGTAATACCAATATTAATAATACATTTTCATATTTTCGGCAAAATGTGTGAACCTTCTTGATATGATAAAAAGAATGCTCCAGTTATTAAATTGTTTTAGTCACGTACGTCATTTATAAAGTATGACGTTCCTTCATACCGCTAATACATGTTCTGAAACCACAAGAATAGTAGTATCTATGCAAAATTTTGAGGTGGCGTCATCAAATTGTTGCAGGGGATAATCAAACCAATTTTGGTTAACATTTTACTATCTATACGATATTCTGAACAAATATATAAAATTTAACAACAATCAGGACTGCTTTTTATGTGTCTAACAAAAATTGATACAGGCAGACGACAGTCAGGGACACATATTTTTTGATATTATAGGGTTTCTGAAACGTCGAGTAAACATGAAAATAGCAGTTCACCGGATAGATTCTAGTACAATATTTCCGTAGCTTACGCTCGAGAAACAAAAATGAATTTACCTAGACACTTCAAAATTAATCTATTCCGAATGAAATAATGTGTTCATTGTAGTGCAAATTACCGTCACCTTAATAATGAAAATAAAACAATTTTGAGAAAAAATGTTACCATGAAGTAGCAAATCTTTTCTCAATTTATTTTTGTTGATAGAGTGACGACAATTTGCATTATAATAGACTACTTAAATCTCCATTATTATTACATTACTGGAGTTCAGAAAGCAAAAATCGCTCTTAACTATAAAAATACATTAAACAAGCAAAAAATTAGTTAGTCATGCAAACAGACTATAATGTGCATGCACCGGTAATTGTAGCGCCTTGTGATTTTTTGTTGAATTTGAATTTTTTTATTTTATTTTGTAAAACAAACGGCGCTAAACCGCCAAAATTTAACAACTTTCTCTGCGTTATAGACATTTTTGTATCCTTTTTACTTCCAGAACGCAAACGACTCAAGCGAAGGAAGTATTGTAGTTCTTTCATGTTTTCAGACGTTTCATAACCTCTTCTAGTGTAGGAAAAAGTAGGTCTTCCGTTTCCGTCGGTCATCTGTCATCTGTATGTGCCTTCGAAAGTATACCAGACCGATTGGCGTCAAAATTTGTACATATATTAGGAATATCGTGTAGATGGTAAAACGCGAACCAAAATGTGGTTAATTTTCCCCACCAATAATTTGATGACGTCCTCTTAATCTTTTTTTTATTAAACTTATTTTAAATTTTATGAGTATAAAATAACGTACTCATATATTTGTGGTTTATGAATTCGGCTTGATTTTTTTACCAGTGTAAGAGCACTGACGGTAAACTCGGTATTAATGCCGGAAATATGTAGTTAAATTACTAACGCGAAGATCGCTGATTCAACTAACTAATGGATCACATTTTTTTTGTTGATCAAATCAAGAACGATTCACCCTATTTTTCCAAAAATTTAAGAATACAAGAATGTTGCGCCCGCGTATACTTAATAACAATAAATAATAAAATAAGAATTATCATAATAATAGCTACTTATCCAAAATAATATCAAGAACGTTTTAATCGCCTTATCTGTTTTGAGGAGACAAAGCCATTCAAATCGGATATCTTGCTACGTGCGTAAAACTGCAATAAAATCTATAGTAATCCAAACCATCCAAAAGTTTTAAAATGTGGTGCACACGTTAGATATTTTCTTTCAAACAAAAAAATAAGGACGTGAAACTAGCTCAAGAAATGATTTATAAATTCGTGTTTTAGTGCTGGGAAATTTTTTGTAGCTAAAATTTGCGCAGTATTTTGTCCATTAATAATTGGTGGATTTTTTGCAATGAAACAATCTGATGAAAAATGTTCATTTTAATGTGTTCATTTTTTGTCACTGAAATTTGGAGAACCACTTAAGTTTGATGCTTCGATTTATATTTTACAATGTTTAAATTATTCATATTGTTCATTTAGTGCCCTCACGTTAATGTATTTTTTGCTCTGTTTTTATAATTCAGACATTGGCGTCTGTTGAAACTGAAAAATGATAAGTTTGACCTGATTAAATTCGAAATGCTTTCTTTACTGAATCCTTAATATTACATTTTTCTATTACATCTTGGGTTTCTTGGTACGCGATTTACCTCGCCTCGCGCCTCCACCAATTATGAGGTGACTGGTAAATAGATTTGAAACCGCTGAGGGAAAGATTCGTTCAAAAGATATTTATCGTAGTTGAAATGATACGTGAACAGCAACTGGTTTGGCTCGGAATCTTTGATGGTCGCTGCGATTATTTTGGTTGAATTTAATTTGTTGTAACATTTTCTAGCGAAAATTTATTGGAAAATGTATTGCTCATTTTGTGTGTTCGTACCCACAAGAATGTGGTCATATTGCTGTGGCGGTTGAATTTTCTTTTGTTTGACCACCAGTCGCAGTTGAATTTTACGTACGTCCACCCCTTTTCACAGACAGTATCGTCTGAAGGCATCTCTTCTCAATCTCGAGCCCCCCATTAAGTTTTTGCCTCGGTCGTATCTCGAGCATTGTGCGAGCCTGATTTACCGTCTCTCTTATGACTTCAGTTTTTGCATTTGAGCTGCTCCTTCTTATCTCTTGCATCTCTCCTTCGCACTAATTGCTTTCTGGCCTTGTCGGGGCGAAATAATCAGCTCCATGTAGCCATTAGCGCTATTCTCTATAAATTAGCTCGGGTATCGGCCCGTCCAGTTTATTATCACCAGAAACCCTTTGTTATGATTGAAACGTTATTTTCATCAATTGACGCAACGCCACGTTTCGACCATTATTCAAAGTCCATTGCAGCCCCTCATGTCCGGTCACATTTTTATTCAGTCAAACAGCGATACTTCACTTTTTATGAAGTTTTGTTATCGGTTAGCTATCCGACGAACTGACGGTGCCAAACCAATAAAAAATGCTTTACTGCTTATATCAGCCTTACTGGCTACGGATTGCGGGCTCACACTCCGGTGAATTAGCTTTAATAAAATATTTACAGATAATAACCTCGCATCATGTTTCATTATGTTTGAATGAAGCCATTAGTCTCTTATGAAAAATTCAGCGCAGTCAATGCCCTTTTATTTTCGCGTTCGAGCTTTCAGTTCAGAGCCAGATTTATTGTAATTACCGCTCCCACTTATTTGCTTTTATATTTAACAATTCGTTTCTTTATTGCAGGAAAACTGCCAAAACTATATCAGAATAATGGCGAAAACTGCAGCGGGTCGCTTACTTCTATGCGGAACTAACGCTTTCAAGCCTGTTTGCAGAGAGTATAATATTCTTAATGGAAATTACACCATGGAGAAAGAAAAACCAGGTCAAGCGGTCTGTCCGTATGACCCTCACCACAACTCCACAGCTATTTACGTCGGTAAGTACATTTAATTAAATTCTTTAGATTTTTACTGTGATAGTATGTTGATTTATTAGATTAGTAGCATAGTAGTAACCTATCATAAAGATATTCCGAGAACTGAACCTTTATTTCTAAAATGTAAATTAATTCAACTGTTTCGCTACGTCGCCGCATTAATATGCACCTATCGGTTGAGAGCGTATGCACGAAGAGCTATTGAGTAATTAAAACTATTCAGCACATAAGTACACAGCAGTTGAGCAGTGGCTTATTTCCTCTGAATGCTGCCAATTTCCGGCAAACATGAATTCACATTGGTTCCAAAAGGAAACATCAGGCTAGACTCACACTGAAATTTCGCTACTTTAATTAATTTCATTTAGTGCTGTGCTATGTCAATTGATAATTATCTAGATGCGGTTCTCCTACAAACCTCGCACTAATTGTTTACTCCGCACTAATTATTTATTGAACGAAACTCTCTTAGCCAACAAAATCGCACAACCCGGTAAATAAATATGTTTCACGTTGTGTTATACTCAAACAAAAAATGATCTATTCCACGTCGAACAGTCAATTTATTAGAACGCGGACAAAAGCAAACACGCGGAAACTTCTATTTTACGATGGTTACGAACAGCGAATATACGGCGAAAACTACACGAATTATGGCAGCTGAAGCGAAGATTTGATTTTGGGGTCGTCTCTGACAAAAGACTCGGAAATTCTCTTCAAATCAGCTTCATTTTACCACGGCCGAAAAGCAAAATGCAATGAAAGTATTAAAATTTTATTTGATATCTGGGAGATGGAGCGGCTTTGAAACTGATGAAACATTAAAAATGAAATCAGACGAAAGCAACAACAATAAAATTTTATGAATTATGAATTGAAGCTGTAACATCTTTTATAGGATTTATACCTATACCGACGCAGCACATGATTTTTATTATAGCGTTCTCTCTCCTCGCCGCAACAATGAAAAGCTGACTTTTTAAATTAATGCCAGTATGGGCATATCATTTTTGTTTATTCAAAAATTCCGCCATTCGGGTGGCGGCGTTTCAAGAGCACAAAAGCAGCTCAAATAAACTCGAATATCATACAGTATTTTTATCAAAGCGCTCATAAAATTTTTAAAACTCAAAATAACTTGAATGCTATACTTAAAGTTTTCTTTGAGTTATCGTCGGAATATCCTAATTTATGACCTAATTCTTTTCGAGAATCCCCAGTCAAAGATAAGAATTAAATTTATTGAATACCATTTGTTTCCTTTCATTCTGTAATTGTAAAAGCATTTCAACGAAAAATTATATCGCCTACGTTTTCAGCTCATAATGGAGTAAAGTCAAACAATATTATTAGTATTGGAGTATTGGAGTAGATAGGTATATATGAAATTCCATCATTGAACTGATAGGCGGATCAGTTTCAATTATGTTTAAAAGAAGTGGAAGCGAATTTTATTTTGACTTTTTCTACAAGCTATTTTATTGCGCATTTAATAATGTTAATACAACTTAGCAACACTCGCCATAATTCACCAGATATTATCAAAATAAAACGCATAACATTACCATCCTCCGGCCATACAGATGTCCCAGACATAACCCGCTGTCTGATATCTTGAAAATGGATAGAAATATTCAAATTCTGTATACACCACTGCTTTTCGCTTAAAGGGGAAACTTAATTTAATACACTGCAAATATTACGCATATATTAGTTTACAAAATTTCAATATTTGCACCCGTTTCCAGGACATAATGCTGCGGATTATGTCTAGGACGTCTATATGTACTTACTAATTTCTTTGTTTTTCGATAGTTGCCCCAGATTCGAATGAATCCTGCCACCTAACTTGACCCTATTTATTCACACTAGGGCATTTTCGGAGTGGGATATTTAGTTTTAAAAAACCTTTTATGTGTAAGAACGGTGACATCATCACGGGATTCACATAGGAGATACTGTTTTACTACAAACCGAAAAGCAGACTTGTCACGTACGGTTAATTATATTATTTAAAGTTTAACTTGAAAGAGCGCAATCAGCGAGTTACCCAGAAAGAAAAAAGCATTTTTAGGGCTGTGTTTATACAATTTTATAGCTGTGTTTTACAGGTTATAATTTAGTATGTATCTGTAAAGGAGATTACAACAGGTCATCTTTTATGCAAGCGCTTTTAAGTAATATGCTGCCGTCATTGTTGGAGAAAGAGAGAGTCCCTTAATTAATTTGTAACCTCTTACAGAAGTTTGTTGGAATTAATATTTTTTTATTACTTGCTTTCATTATATTTATTATTTACTAGGATCAAAAAATGTATAATTTGATTATTTGCTTCAAAGTCTTTGCGATCAAAAGTTAAAGTCGGCCTAATGGACAGCCCCAGAAAGTCTGAAAAATTCTAGGTTGAAATTTCATGAAATAACGTAAACTGATGAGTTGCATCACATTTTTTAATTAAAAATGTGATGAAAACTGTGAATACATGTTTGTAGATTTCTAAGCAATATACATTCACTATACTGGGTGATTTTTTTAAATTTCTGCTCTAGTTACTCACGACGGTTACGTCAGCAGTGAAACTTTAACTTTAACTTGAACTTGAAGGGTGTATTTTGGGTTGCGTCATTTTGAAAAAGTTACGTTATTCAAAGTTGGTGTCATCAAGATTTTAAATATTCTAAGGTAAAATCATACAAAATCTTTTATTTATTTATAACAATTTAAATCATGAATACCACATTTATTTACAATAATTGCTGGCAGTGTTGACTCTCAACCTAAAGACACAAATTGACCCTTCGTTTCATATTTTTGAACACTCGGACAGAACCTCTGTAATTCGTTCACACTGTCCTCGAATTTGGTTTTTTAAGTCGTCGCTGGTAACAGGTTGTTTTAAGGTGGTGTGATAAGTAATCAAACGGCCATAAAAAATCCCTTAATAAATTTAAGGTCGTTTGTGCTACATGAGCTCTTGCGTAGTCATGTTGAAAAAAACATGCAATTAAATTAATTAACCTCTTCAGTTGGAATTTTCTTCGTTCCAGTTTGAACGTACGTTATAAAGATTTTTACGTCTAGCTTGGTGGCTTTAACGTTTTAATATTTAGTATAGGCAGAGATCTAGTTGCATGTAGCGATTTTTTTAGTGATCTACTTACAAAAGGATTTTCCTTGCTGTCAATTTTAACACTTACATATGCGCTGTGTCAAAATATTTTAAGTAGTTTGTTAAGCGCGGAGAAGTCACAATAGACAACTGAAAATATTCCAAAAAAATCTGTTATTAAGGTTAGATTTAGTTAGTTTTGCGAGACTGACACTTGCAAATTAAATTTCTATAATTCCGTAATTTTCTTTTATTTGAGTTGAACTATAAACGTAATTCGAATTTAATTAGAAAATTGCATAAATTATCGGTATATTGACTTTACGTTTAAATTGGAAGCTATTTCGTCCATTTCCCTTCACCTTGGAAAACGTTATTATGCGCATGCATGAAATGAATAATGCAGTTTCTAATTTGTCAGTTTACATCGAAGTGCACCTTTGTATTACCAGCGTTACTCTGTATTCTTGTGGTTACACAGAGTGATTGCGGTCTCTTTAAAAATTCATTCAATTAACGACGACGCAATGGCTGCGGACCATCAGAGATCCAGCCATCCAAGCCCTTTAAGAGATAAAGAAGCGAAGCACTTGCATCATTAAACATGCTTCGTCTACATTTTAATCAGTGTTTTTACGGATTTCACTCGCAGATTCACTTTCACTAACTTGTCGGCTACATGAAAACTCTGTTCTGTACAACACAGCTTTGTTACGGCCAAATATGCATAAAACGTCTTCATTATTTGAGCTCGTTATTCTCCGCGTATCGTCTCATCGCCGTCGCCGTCGCCGTCCCGACCTTCTTTGAAGTCGGCCCCGTGTGAACGTGACACTAGACGGAGCAATGTATAGTTTGCTTAACTGAATTAATTCGACTAGTTTCGATGCGACACCTATCCGATTGTGAAACAATTTCAATATGATGTAATTACCATCATCAAGTCTATTGTCTTCCTTGGTGGGCTTGCAAGGTTCTGATTAGGCATTACCTAAAGCACAAGTGCCAATGATGGCAACAGCCCGTACTTTGTTCTATTGTGTTGCTGTTTGGTGGTATTGTTCGAGATGTTCATCGCGCATAGAACCAAACTAAAAAGCACTGTTCAACAAAACGAACATTCTAGACATAATGTGCAATTTAGTTACTTACTATGAAGTGAAACCCTTGGAACATAAATAAATAATTACGCAATGTGGAAACTGCTTATGGAATAATTTCAGTAATTTCAAAGCTAATGGTGTTTGTCGAAATTGCTGCAACAGGTCGATTTTTCAAGAAACCCACACTATTATTACTATCCCCATTTTGAAACGAACAGAAAGTTGCTGATTAACGTTTTACCATCTACAAAATCGACACAGACGACAGAAAACAAACAGATGGACGGAAACGATAGACCTATTTTTTCGTATTGTAGAGGTCATGAGACGTCGAGAAAACATGAACGTACACACTCGCCCGAGAGTAGTACGCACAGTTTAGCTGACTTAACTTCTGAACCTATACATCTCTGTTAATATAACACTAAACCAGCGTCTTTCACAGAATTACAACAATACGAAGAATTCCACGGCTTCGCCCTCAGCCAAAAAATGTAATTCTTTCTGCCTGCGCTATAAAATGTTCCATGATTATTTGATTACCATTTCATACTTTTTAATGAAAATTATCCCATTATCGTAAATTTCATTATTTTAATAAATGGAAAATCTTGCGTAATTCACCACCAAAGACTTAGAAAACTCCGCCGGAAACATAAAAAAGTTATAAGATATTTTATAATCAGTGACTCTGAAGTCCACATTACGATGAAGACTCAAACGTTTATCGTTTAAAATAATATAAAATTTGTGTCGTAAAACGAAGCTCCCACCATTTTATTAAAAAATAAACTCGTGTCTTAACGACAGTACAAGACCAGGGTATTTTTGTCTGTGAATGGAATCTTGACATTTTTTTAAGTGCTAACTTCGTTGCACCGTTTTACACTCACCGAATACATTTGTTGTGAAAGAACGTTTCTATGTGGAGCTCTTTGTTTCAGATGGCGACTTGTATACGGGCACGGTGGCCGATTTCAGTGGAATGGACCCCATTATCTATAGGGAACCGCTGCAGACAGAACAATACGATTCAATGAGCCTTAACGGTGAGTTTTCTAAAGGTTGATGCGTTTTTGTCTTCGACTGTTTTTGATTAATTCGTTGAATTCTAGCCCCCGACTTCGTCAGTTCCATGACCCAGAGAGACTTCGTTTATTTCTTTTTTCGTGAGACGGCAGTGGAATATATCAACTGCGGCAAGGTAAACATCTCGTTTTTATTTTTGCGTTATTTGTATAAAGAGTTTCCTTTTTAGGCTGTTTATTCTCGTGTGGCGCGCGTCTGTAAGAATGACAGAGGTGGACCACATCGTTTCAGGAATCGCTGGACATCGTTTCTCAAATCCAGACTAAACTGCTCCGTCACAGGGGAGTTTCCCTTCTACTTCAACGAGATACGTGAGTGCAATATTTATATTTTGTCGTATTAATAAAGCATTAGCTGTTATATATGAGACTCTTAAAGCATTAGAAGGAGAATTTGCTGAACTCAAACGGAATTGGTAACATACAAGATATCTGATTAAAAAGACATAATTTTTACTTGCTTCTACGCTACTTGTATCGATTCGCGTTTTTCTCTTCCGGAGTTTTATAAATCGAAAGAAGAAAGCTATAATTCTGAAATGCAATCGTAAAGGAAGTTTTGAGGAAGTCAGTTGCAGACGAAGTTGTGATTAAGTTATCCGGTCTAGTCGCTAACTTAGTTAGATGAATTGTAAAAGATGCGCCACGAGCGCTTTGCACGTAAGAAGCATCCCAAATTAAACCCAAATAAAATATTTATATGATGTTAATCTACTTAGGAGAACCATTAGGTTTATTCTTTAGCTTGAATCTCCGATACAGTTGCTAAAACACGTGGTAGAGAAGTTGGTTAAGATATAATAAAATTTTAATCACCGAATGATTACCCCTGTATAGTTGATTTGTTCCCAATTTTTGTTAAAAAATACTACGGAAATATAATTTAATTAATGAAAACCATGGTGTGACCAAGAAAAAATGTACTTGGCCTTCACGGGACGTGATCCTACTACAAATAAGATGCCTTGACTATAAATTTTCTTATTTACACAACATAAACTACAAAGATATCAACGTCTATAGCATATGAATCCTCTTCTGCGACAAGAAAAAAATACCGAAAATTTTGCTTTATGTATTTGGTCGTCTGATTAATTAGAATCTCAAATTATTATTAATTTGAAGTTCGCAGATGGTGTTGACATTGTTGATTTTTGTTGAATTGTACTGAGAGCGCTATCAAAAGTAACGTTGCGATCATCCACTGCCTTGCCGTCTGTTTAAACAAATTTAAATAATATTGTGTCGTAAAATTTAATCCGGACGTAGTTAAACTAATTAAAAGCATGTTTCGAAGCATGAACTTTTTGCTAAAGTTGACTTTTCATAAATCCGTGGAAACAATTTTGACAGTGAGATGGGATGAGATTCGTGGCACAAGTTGCGTTTAAAATTGGCTGTGCCTCTGAATACCGTTATCCGCGGCCTATATTATTAATAATTTATAATTATAAATACTGATAATGAGTAGCAGGTAAACATAATTATTCTAGGGAGTGACTATTGATAAAAGTGTGTTGTACCTGAGTCTACATATTTTTTCCTAACCGTGTTTTTTAAATTCTGTAAATAATAATCTTTTCGTAAGAAATTACGTAATTCTATGTAAAAAACAAAACTGTATGATTTTTTTTTATTGTGAAAGGCTGATCATAAATCATCATAAAGTTTGAGAATTCAACGTAATTAATACTGTTACACGAGTATTGAATAAAGGAAAAGTCAGTCCTAACATTTTTACATTCTTAGTTTAATTGTTTAAGTTTAATCCACGTTACCGTTGAAGAATCCAGAGTTAAAAAAAAACACTCAACTCACATAATATGACCTTATGTATTGTGTATAATTTGCTACAATTATGGATTAATGAACAATAATAAAGGCCAAATTTAAGGATAAATTGACTGGTAGTGATTCAAAAACGGTGTATACCAGTTTTAGTGCAAAAAATACATAATCAGATAATCACGTAAAGTAGTTTTTCCCAATTTCTTATTTTACATATCAAAACCACCACATTTTCGTGCAGATGCAAATTTCATTCTACCCTATAAAATTTTATTGGCAATAAGGAGACGGACAGTAGTACAATAGGAAGAGATATTTACAACTTAAAGTTGTCGCGTGCCGGTAATCCCCAGATGTTAGAAAGCAGAGTAATCCAAGTCTGGCCAGGGACCATCGTTACTTACGAACGAAAAAAAAACATTATTTTATGAGTACAACTACTTGACAAATGTTCTCCGACAAATTCGGGTGAACTGGTGTGAGGCATAAATATTTCTGACCATTGTACTACTGTCCGTCTCGTTGTTGTCAGTAAAGTTTTATAGGGTAAAATGATATTTACAAAACTATACATGTAGTCGATGCAGAAAAAAATCAGTTTTTCCATTTAAATTTCCTTAAACATTATTTCGATGCATAACAGGCGTGACAATATTGTCTAGAAAAAAAAAGCTATATGCAGTAATATACAGTCACTGAGCGCGCGTTCCTCGATATCCTTTAATTATTCGAAACAAAAAGAAGTTTAAAACTAAAGTTATCCGGTTCTTTAAGGACCACACACTAAAATTTTATTTTCGATTATACAGAGCGTTTTGTTTTACAAGCGTAACACAACATATTTTTTAAATGAAATACCCTAGGTATTTTTACATATTCTGATTTTTGCAACTGGAAATGTTAGTGACGTATTTTTTTTCGTCTTAAATGTTTTTTTTTTTTTTTAATTACGTTTTTCAGATGTTTGATGTAACTGATGTTAGTTTTTGTTAGAAAGAACAGAAATTTTAAAATTTTAGAACAGTATACAAATTGAATTAATCAAATAAATTTATTTTTTATAAATCTCTTTAATGATTATTATTCATATAATATATAATACATATCAACAAAATTATTTGTTATAATCTGTATTTGAAAATTTTGAAGTTATGATATGTTCTTGAAGTGTTCGTTGTCGTCCAAATACTTCAAATTTAAACCCAAAGGTGGCGTTACCGCAAATTTGAAATTTTTTGAGATTATTTGAACAAACCTTGATTATATTAAATAACAAATACTTGCTAATTTACTAGAAAAGGTTTAAAAAACAAGAAGAAACAAACCCATTTAATAAAAAAAATCGCTTAGGATTTTCAATAATAAACTACGGATATAAAGTCTAGGAAGAGACTTTATTTTAATCTAAAAATAATATTATTAATGGAGCAGAGACGAAGTTTATAATGCTCTCTAAATACAATTTGTAAGAAAAAGAATAGAAATAATACGTTCTTGACTAATGACTCACAAGTGATAAATAAGTTACAAAGTGAAGTGTACAAGAAATAAATTAAATGAGTAAATTAGAAAATAAAAATTGCAACCAGATCCGCTATCGGAACAGGTTTTATTTATACTTAGGTTACACTGTGTGCAGTAAACTCATTTGACATATACCTGGTAAACTTTTATGACTTAAGCCAGTCTCTTATGACAATAACGGACAGTAGTAATCCTTGCGGTTCGGGGCTATAAAAAGGGCCGCACGCCGTGTATCAACAAGGTCATATTTAAGAGAAGACCAGACGAATATAATTTACATACTAAAAACGAAAAAATACGGTATATTTAAACGTACGTCTATTTACATACACATATAATATAAACAGTAGTAAGTACAAATAACTAATATCGAATTTAATAGTAAAATAAAATTGTTATCAGCCGAGTCTGCTTACCCTTCGGTATACTCTCTACGTGAAAATTTGTATGTTGCAATTTACAGTAGCTTGTTTGATTTACAAGGTTGGTTTGGCTTAAGTCATAAAAGTTTTACTGGATACATGTCAACTGAGCTTAGAGTATTAACTTCATATAACGAATCTATTCATGTATACAATCAATTAAAAAAAACTGACTTATTTTCTATCTTTAATAATTATTATAATTAATGAGACATCGAGGAATGCGTGCTTAGTGACACAACCTGTACATGATTTCGAAACTTCAGACACAAAAAACCTTTATCCAGTATTACAAGCTTACAAACAATGTATTATAGAGAAGTTATCAAAAGCCACTTTCTTTGATTTACGCGTTCTTTTTTAGAATTTTCTGTCGAATGATTGTCAGAGAAACTAATTTATTAAAGAGTGTTCTAAATCAAAAATTTATGTTTCTCGAACGCTGTGACATTTTCGGTATTTATTTAAACAGACGTTTCCTACACACACTCGTGTCAGTGACTTTATTTATGAAAGTGTGTATTCTCTGTGTTAGTAGCAGCAGAAATGCGGAAAGTTTTAAACCGGAATGACTTGGAGACAACTTTTTAATAAAAGATTTTATATTCAGGCAACTGAAAGTTTATACGCTTTTATAATTTTGAAAATCACGCAAACAACACTGGAGCAATTTACTCCTTTAACATTCACCGGAATGGCCCCATCATAACCGGCGAATTACTTCTAAGAATAAAAAAGAAGTAAATCTCGGCTTAGAAGTGCAAAGTTTTCCGTTTGTCAAGTTGCCTTCGAGCAGCGGCTGCTGTTATTTCGGACTCATTAATTTTATTTAAACGGTTGCAGAGTCAACGACTGAGCTGATCGAGGGCCAATACGGCGATGTTTCCGCCCAATTGATCTACGGCACGTTCACAACACCGCCGAACAGCATATCCGGCAGTGCCGTGTGCGCCTTCAGTCTGCAGGACATCACGGATACTTTTGAAGGCAACTTCAAGGAACAGTCGGCCATAAATTCCAATTGGCTGCCTGTGCAAAGCTCGAAAGTGCCTGATCCGAGACCTGGACAATGTCACAACGACAGCCGAACGTTGCCCGATCTCACCCTCAATTTCATCAAAACACATTCGCTGATGGACGAAAGCGTCCCGTCCTTCTTTGGACAGCCGATCGTTATCAGGACGATTTTCCAGTAAGCTCGTCTACGGTCTGGCCGTTCGATTTTATAATGTTTTCCTTACAGTTATCGCTTCACCCAAATCGCCGTTGATCCACAAGTTAAAGTGCCCGGTGGGAAAACCTACGACGTACTTTTTATTGGAACAGGTAATTACGGGAAACTTGACTTGCTTCTGTACTTGCCGTATAGACTAATTAACGTTATATGAAAGCTGCGATTAAAACGGATTAAACTTGTCAGAACTGTTAAGTAATCTTAAAACTTTAACCAACTGTATTTTCTAACGGCAATTGCACTTGATAAACGTACACTGCACGCACAATTGAACTCGTTCTTGCGGATATTGTACCATTTAAGTCTGTTGCCTTTTTGTTTTGTGACGGCAAAGAATGCTGCCATTAAGAAGACATGCCGAGAATTTTAGTGTTATCGTATTCAACAATACAAACCTTTCATCACTATTTATCTTATCATTGCGATGAATAATAACCATACAAGTCAAAAATTATTGTCAAATTAACTTGCTCCAAGAACTAAAGGAGTTTCCATATTATATATATGTCAGTATAAATGTATACTGAGAAATATTGCTGAAGTGAATTAATTTTATTTATATAACAGGTGTTCAAAAAATTTTCAAGTAAGGTAGGCTATGGAAATATTTTTCATTTTTTCTATTGCATCTTATGCGGTAAAATCAAAACTTGTCAAATCAAATTTCAAATAAGGTTATGTTTGTTTTCAAACTAAAAGGGTAAAGGGGCGAAAACTGCGAAGGACGATTCCATGGCAGCAAAAAGTTCATTTTAAATTCGCTGTCCCAACATTAAATCATTCAAATCGTGGCCTTCCATTGTGACTTTAACATCTTCGATTTGTTGACGTCGACATTGACTTTTGTAAGGTTTACCACTTTAATAAAAAAAATGAAAAATATTTCCGTAGCCTACTCTGAGAACTCTGTTATTAATTATAATTTCACAGCAAACTTTTCAAAGAAAAAGTTGGATAAAATAAAAAATAGTTCCAAAACCACCATTAAACTTTCTTGATCTTTATTTAGTTCTTAAATATGAAAAGAACAAAATTCACCTTTAATAATATAATTTACGAAATAGCCATGTGAAATAAAATTCAATTCATTACAAAATAAACACAAAACAAGATTGCTTTGAAAGCCTCTTCTTATATATTTTTTTTATTGGTTTAATAAATATAAATAAAAACCAGCTCGCCACCTGATGTGTAATAATAAATTCTATACCTTCAAGATGAAAATAATTTTTTTACTAATTATTAATTAGTTGATTATTACGTAAATTCGATTCTTTGAGATCCTTTAAAGCAAGTTCGTTTGAAGCTTTTTTATACCCTTAACAAGAACGTATCTTCTTTTCCCATGATTGTGATCAAATTTCATTTGCCAAACAAATTGCTGCCTTGGGTTATTATTATTAATTAAACCGCATCAAATATAACTACTTAATAAAAAAATTGGACTGTTATATTACGAAACTTGGCGTTATATTTATTTATTTTCTATCACTCTAGATAAATCATTACAGAGTTTTAAAGTGCAAAATTTAACATCTTGATAACCCACAACATATAACTTTTAAGGTTGTAATTTAAAATATTTTTTCTTAAATTGAAAATGGCGTACTTAAAATTACAAAACCGTAATCTTGAAAATGTGTCGTAGAAAAAATGTTTACTCATAGATTGTACGATTTTTTTTTGTCAAAAATGCGTCCAAAAAATTCATTATTTTACTATGTAAAAAATTGTGTAACCCCTATAATTAAAATTAAAATAGGAAACGGATTATTAAATTAAGGACAAGGAGCATGTTAATAACAGCACAATATTACTATAATTTCAGAGAAATGAGATAAACTGTTTTCGAATTAATAATTAAAATAAATTGCTTCATTCATATTTTTTTTAACATTTGTGTAAATATGTATTTAAAAAAATAGGAGTGTTTAAAGACACTACACATACAGAAAGGAAAACATGCTTTTCTAGGCATTCAAAAGAGATTGACTTTGTAAAATGTGAAACGACGTCAGCGAGTTTTTGATAAGATGAACTGATCAATTTTAATTCAAACGCGCACAAACTTTCAGAACAATGAGTTTTATAGTCTCTAATAAAAGTGTAATAAATAAGGGTATACTAATAAAACAAAGGTCTAGAAGCATATTATTACTTACCTAATTAAATCGCCAACAAACGACAAACAAAACGGGAGACCTACTTTTTCATATTGTCGGAGCTATGAAACGGCGAGAAAAGATAAATTAGCTATTCCTCCCTAGCTTACGCTTCAAAAGTAAAAAATGTATTCATCATTTGAAATGAACGTCGTAATCCCCTTAGTTCTTTTATTTCAAAAACGGATGAAAATATGAAAAAGTAACATTTTATTAATTCATCCTATTCATTTCAGTACTTGCGTATTATTTCAGCAACTTGTTCTAAAAGTATAAATATTTAACAACATCTGAATAAAATTATATTATTCAGTTTCTAAAATCCCGTTAATTTCTGTGCGACTTTTAACAGACAACGGTAAAATCATCAAGGCTGTGAACGGCCTTTCGGCTGAAACACGGCACGGAGTTCGACCCGTCGTGATTGAAGAAATCCAAGTTTTCCCCGTACATGTGCCTGTTAGAGGAATTAAGGTTGTAAGAAATTCCCGACAAGAGGGCCGTCTTGTCGTCATATCCGATGGAGAAGTGCAATCTCTTCGCTTACATAGGTGTGACAGCAACAAAATATCGAGTTGCAGGTAAGGCTTCCCAGAAGTGATCCAAATGTGTGCCAAACAAATATTTTTTCTAGCGAATGTGTCGCACTTCAAGATCCATATTGTGCCTGGGATAAAGTCCAGGGAAAGTGCAGGTCGCACGGATCTGGACGATGGGGTGAGGAAAGTTATTTCTTCCAGAGTGTTGCCACAGGGCAACATTCAGCGTGTCCTCCATCAAAATTAGTCAAAGACGCTTCATCCGTTGGAGGGTTGAGCGCAAATCTGCCCAAATCTAACCAAGGTCATCAGCCGATTAAAGATCAGCCTGATGGTCAAGTGATTAATATCGTTCCAGATGAAAATTACGAAAGCAGCGGTGAGTAATAAAATATTTTTGGGCCGGTGATACTAGGTTTAACATTGAGCCACTTTTACATTTTCACAAATACAACAAATCTGCTGGTTGTTATATTGTTTTCGAAAATGTTGACGTACACATCATAAATAGCGACAGAAGGAGTATCTATGCGTACATAGCGACATATATTTTAACCAATGATTTATGTTTACTTTTAGATCCTGCTGTTTCCGCTGCAGATACCCTACCAGCACAGTATTCAGTGGAAACGTTAATCATGGCCGTGGTGGCCGGTGCCGTGTCCGCTTTGGTAGTCGGCTTTATCGCCGGATATCTGTGCGGAAGAAAATGTCACAAAGATGAAGATGATAATTTACCGTATCCTGACACAGAATACGAATATTTTGAGCAACGTCAGAACATGAACAGGTATGAATCAACGAAAGACGCTAGAAAATAACGCATTATTTAGTTCTTTACCGCTTTTCAGGATACAAGCGGAGCCGAAGTTGCTCCCTCAAGAGGAGGTGACGTATGCGGAACCCGTATTGGTACCGCAACCACCTCCTAAATTACATTCGCCAAAGAACACGCTTCGAAAGGGACCTCATCAAAATAATGCTGAGACCCTCTTCCAATTTCAGACTGATGCCGGCTACAATGGCCGGGATAATTACCGAGGACGGGATAATTTCGGCACCCTACGCTCACATCAGGTGGGTATGTTCGATTACAGTCTTTTATCTTGATGTTGTGGAAAAATTGTAGTTGATGAGATTTCTGGGTACACGCAAATTAATACCGGTAACCACCGACCTGAGTGCCATTAGGACAAAATTGTTTTGCTTCTGTTTACTGACCCAATGGGCCATCGTGTTTTTTTTTTTTTTATTAAAAAAGACAACGTTTTAAAAAGCTACTATTGTATCAAGTATATCAAAAAAGTTGTTTAAATTTTTCAAACGTAAAAAAATTGCTTTCTTACCTTAGAATGAGTACAAAATTATTGCGACTCATCAGTGTTAACAAACACTCAAAAGAGTCAACAACAACTAAACTAACTTTCATATCCGTTCTTTTTATAGGTCTTCTCACGGTGTTGTTTCGTCAATGTTAATGCAAACATTTATTAACTTAATGAGAATTTGTTTTCGTTAAAAATTTGGTTATTTTATGTTTATCTTCAGTGATGATTTTGTGTCAAAAGTAAAACTATTTGATTTACAAGCGAATGGAAGCGCTTCGTCTATTTTTGGAGACAGCATCTTCACCAAAGCTCAGTTTTAATTGTGTTGTAAAAATAAAATAGTGAAGTGATTCATTGAATTTACAAAATATGAAAACCGAAGCTTAGAAGAGAATTGCAGTGGACGTAGGAGTATACTTTCATTTGTAATCTCAAAACAGATTTACAGTAGGATGCATTTTTTAAACAAATTTTGCTTCCTCAAAAAAGCGAGTTATTCTTGAAAAATTGTCTCTAATTGATCATCGTCAAGGTACAATTTTTTATTCGGCAAAATTCGTTGTTTATGATGATTTTTCGAGATATTTTTCCTCAGAAGGTTAAAATAATTGATCCTCAATTACGAACAGAACCAGAATCTTGTATATCACAAATAGATAACGCATTCACAAGTAATATATTTATTAGAGATGTACCGACTGTAGGTCTGGCCGACTAACCGACTAGCCGATTGTTCGGCCAGTAAAAACCGACTAGTCGGCCGACTGTTCGGCTTTGCTAAAACCGGTTTATAAATGCGACATACAGTGTGTTTTTTTTATATTTCTCTGACTACCGTAAAAATTTGTTTTATTTTAATACAAGGAATAACTAAAGTTCCTTTGTTTTCCAAAAAATGTGTTAAATTTGTTTGGATAATTTTGACATTTAATTTTTTTTAGTAACTCAGTACAAAAATAAAGAATATCACAATTTAGGGCCAGTTTATACAATATTTTAACTGAGATTAAGTTGATTGCACATTTAACAAGGCCATTAGCGACGTCTGATTGGCGCAGAGTCGATCACATAGTACTTTGACGCGGTGTTAAAAATTAAATCGCAATTAAATATTTAATTGAGGTTCTGTAAACCGAGTTTAATTGTTTTATATACTATTTCAATTTTAATAAAACAAAGCCGACCGATCGGCTGTTTAGCCGACCAGTCGCCGACTGCCAGCCGACGATGAAAAACGGCCGAATAGTCGGCTTATCCGACCGGTCGGCCACTAGTCGGTACATCCCTAATATTTATACACCTTTGCTTTTTACTACGTTCACAGAAGGATCACATGGAACTTACTTTTAAGTTACTGGTAAGGAACGTAAATGTAAATTTATGGTCGGTCCCTAAAAATTAATTAAAACGAAAGCCTCGTTCTTAATCAGTAAAGACCTATTACAGCTTTCACTAATTTACATCAGTAATAGTAGCAACCAACAAATAGGGCGAATAGATACCAGTTAAAAAGAACCCGTAAACTGTCAATAGCTTCTGCTAAGAAGATTAACCTCGTTCGGAAATCTAAAACGAAACTCTTAGACTCACACTCCACACGAGATTTGGTAGAAAGAAATCGGTTGTAGGATCATCATCAGTATTCTGTTCTCAATATTTTTACGCATTTCTTGAGATCCTAAAGCCTCTAGAAATTTACACTTATACGAGGAGTGCAATAATGAGTATTAATGAGATGTATTATTTTGTAGAATCTTTACCGCTAATTTCAGAATTTCACGATTTTTCCTTTGATCCTCCTACTTTATGCGGGTTAAAAATATAGTTTGCAACTTCAATCCAGATGTTACGTTAGATTAAAATTTTGATTCAATTTTTGTAACATGACTCATCCAATTCAAATTGACTCCGATTTACGGGGCAAACGCCTATTCAAAAGAAAATCTGAATCATGCTGTTACATTGTTGAAAATCAGCGTTCACAATATTTAAAGATTAAGACAAATTTCGTTCATCTCCAAGATTATTGTAATATAGGTAAGAAGCGGGTTCCATTATTTTAGTGTATACTTGCTCAAGAGATATAATAGTTTTACGACTTTGAGTCCGTTCCTACCTGGTCAACGGCTTATTAGATGCAAATTTGTAACACCATCCCAAACTTAAATAGCGGCACTTTGTTGTATTTGGTTTCTTCTAAACAAGGACGGTCTTATGTTAGTGGTATTAGTTATAAAACCACTATATCTTTTGAGCGAGTAAAGTTTTCTAAAATCTCGAGCTAAGTATTAAATTCAACAACAATTAAGTATCTGTTTTTCACGGTTCCTTTGTACATACCAATCCTATACGTACACTTAATATGTATTTAACAGTTGTTGATTCAGGTTAAACATATTCAGTTGATAAATGCCTGTGTGAAACCAAACATTTTTCACTTGAACGGAAAACATCAATGGATAATCGTTTTGTTTTATATTTGATCTTTTTGTGACCCAGTTTGAAAACGATTTGAGGAAAACTGGAACGTGGCCAACATATTTTACTATTTTCGACACAAATAAAAGTAATTACACTTCACATACGAAAGAGAAAACGATTGCGAACTATCATTTTTAGACACTTGTAACTAGAAATAATAATAGGTTGCTACATTATTACAGATTCCTGACTTCTTATGTAAATGAGGTACGGTAAAGAGGTCGGAATGATTACAAACGCAACCAAGCCAAACGTCAAGATTTATTATTAAGCTTAAGTTCGAGAAACAGATACTTGGTCCGATTTATTAAAGTGACAAGTCAAAGAGACCCATTTCGATTTCACTCCTATTTTTACCTTCACCCTGGAAGCACTTAAAAAAAGTTTTCACGGGACCTGGTATAAGTGATTTACATTTATATGTCAAGTTTATAAAATCTTCTTAACAACCCGATCGATACAGTACGGCCAGAGCAAAAGTCTGAAATTTATGACATCAGCTGTAAATACTTGTGAAAACGTAGTGCGACAAAGATGAAAGTCAGTCATTACAAGATTCGAAGACCACTTTACTTTTCAAAGGTTTAACTGAACTGAGCTAGGTTACCCTACATGTTTTTTTTATATTCACAGAACTTGATATTCTTAAAATCAGTGGCAGTACTCAACAACTGTATATTTTTGCACATGCTTTAGTATGTAGAAGTATTTAAAAATGTATTCTTCACTCTTCTTATAGTATTTTTAAACATTCTGCTGAGGGTGTAGTGTCTTTGCATTTTGTGTCAAGTCTGCTGCTTTTCGGGATACCTATATTTATTGCTATGACCGATTAAAAATAATGATGATAATAGGAAGGTACCCAGTCATCAGCAAGACTATCTACCTACATAAACTAGCTCATCCAAATCTAAAAATGTTTCCGTAGGATTTGACAACGAAGTGTTGGATATTTTTGAGGGGGTACGCAAACCGACATTAAACTTCAAAGTAGTTTGTTTTGTTCCAGGGTGATAACTATAGACGGGGTGATGGCTTTGCAACAACTCGCAGTGTAAAGAAGGTATACCTCTGAGAAAACAGTGAGGAGGGCGGAGTGGGTGCACGAAGTTTGGGACGGCCGCGCCCACCACGTTCGGGGCACAGTGCATTGCCAACGAGCAGTGGATCCTCCAGTTCCCCTTCGCCGCCCTCCTCATCGCCATCGCCAACACCTCCCCGCACTGCCTCTTACATCTATAGGGCTTAGCCGCCTTATACGGATTATGCATTCGTACAAGCCAGGTGCGTGCCATCCAACATCTAGGAAAACCAAAAAAATCTTTTTCTAAGATCTCGTTCAATGTGTAAAACTTGATAAAAATCAATAATTAACTATACGTAAACGGTTGTTCTCTTGTTTCAGAGTGTTGAATATATAAATAAAACGACCCAGTTTGTTATTGCTTGTTCCGAAATGGAATGTACACATTTTTATATGCAAAATAATAAGGGAAAAAAGTGTAAAAATTCCTTTATGTTGGATGGTAAGACCTATAAACGTGGGTTGGATGAACGAGACTATGATGTTAGAATGGAGTAAAGATAGCCACGTAGTTTACACTTATCGTGTGAAATGGATAAAATTCAAAATTAGAAGGTGCGCTAGTGTAGACTTAGGGCAGTGTCTTAGACAGATAGACTCGTTTACGTATTTTCATGATTAATAAGTGCTTCTTATGAATGTGTTAGGTAAGAATGTCCGTAAAGATAGATTGTTATGATTTAGCAACATTGTGATTAGATTGTATATTCTTTAGCTATAATGTTGTTCCATCTGTATCTTTGTTATTGTATATCTCCATATTTTATTATTATAACACTGCCCACTTTGTTACATACTTGCACATAATCTTTCCAAAGCTCATTTCGTGACGATTGAAGTGAATAAGGTTACAAAGTGGGACAAGTAAGTTTTAGTTTCATGGCGACTTCGTTTCTTTCGAAATTAAGCTATTTTATAAACAATAAATTGTCGCATATAGTAATGTACATAAGACTGAAATATATAATACTCCGTGTCCAAGTTTAGACAGTAAAGCTATTTTTTTTATTATTTGTTTTTAGGTTTTGTGCGCATTATCACAGTACAAACTTCCTAACAAGCTTAGCTAAGCTCGTGAACGTCGATATACAGATATAATCGACTAGTTAATTCGTTTTATTAAAATTCTCATTTAACCTGTAGGTCTCAGCGAAAATAGCATATTAGTCATTGTTATTATTTTGTTATTTAATTATTTTAATCTCGATTAAATAATGTTTATTTTTATCGTTGCTCAACTATTTTATATCCTCTAGAATTACCACCTATCATTAGTAAGTAAAACACCAATTGTGTTGTTGATTTATTTTTTTATATATTTTTACGTTACTGCTACTTCTTAACCAAACTCAGTCAATTTGTTAATAAAATTTGTAACACAAAGTCACATTGAAGAGAATTTTGTATCAAACTTGTGCATACATGATATTGTGATTGAATACAGAAGTCATGTTTTTGTAGAAATTGTTGCAATTTTTTGTTTAGATTTGTAAATATTTTATCACGTTTATAATACCAAAACAATTATTTTAATATCAAAAACAACAAAAAATTGCAATAACATTGTTTTTCTTTTGTGTATTAATAATATACCTAATAAGATATTCCAATAAATTATTATATTCAGTATCTGTATTTCCAAAATTGTATAAAGTTGTAGATAGAATTTTAATAATATAGTATACCTAGTCAAGTTGAATATTTAAATATTACAGAACTTTGGCACTCAGATATTTTATAGATATTAGCGCTAGATTTTTATTTGGAGATATGGAACAAAATTTTTTTGGGCATCAATTTGCAACTTTATTTATTTGGTAACAGTTTACCTAGAAATAGTGTAAAGTGAATTCTAATAATTGATTATCAAATAATAACTTGCTTCCTTCAGAGGGATATGCCCAGCCCCTAGTGCAGATATCTGCAATATTGCTGTGCAAGCATTTTGTATCTTGTAAGGCTGCAGCCAGTTTTTTAAACATTACAATATAATTATGATAATAGAGTAATATAGTTCTAGTTAGTTGATAAGTATATTTGCAAATTGTATGTCTGCAGTTCGTACTGATTCCAGTCTGACTTGTCTGGATGTTTGCCTAAGAAAGCCTTTAGCATATTATATAAACATCGTTACGTCATGCAAACAGTTATATATTTAAACATTCCATATTCGATACAAATGAGATATTTAATACTTAACTTTGTCTGACAAAAAAAAATATTTAAATACTTTGTCAATATGTCTTAGAGAGTATGTTAAACTGGAAACCGATTACAATTCTAAAGATAGATTTTAAAAAAACGGCGCTGCGAACGACAGTTGTAATTATATAATAATAAGCCTTTCGCAGATGTACTATATTTAATAAAACAATTAACAGTTTGTCCAGAACATTAGTTACGAATATTGTTTGTTGTATAGAAAAATTGGTCCTTAATTTTTACTTCTGAGAAGTACCTAATATACTTAAAGATTTTATACCTTCTCATTTTGAAACCTCTTTGTACATTAAATATTCTGGGCAAAATGTAACATACCCATTTAATGATATTGACTTTAGACAACACAATGTATTCTTTGAATAGAAATAAAAGAAACAAGTAAATATTTCTAGTTTTATTTTGAGTAACAATTTCTGACCTGACCTGACGCCTGACCTAACCACTGCTAGATAAACTTCACGATGGTGAAATGGAAGTAGGTTATTTTCGACAAGACGACACTACAGCGCATTCGGCTAGAACCACAATGGCAATGACATTGAAGGATTTTTTTGACAACCAGATCATTAGTCAAGTCCAGTTATTTTTATTTATTTAATAAAATTGATTAAACTTGTACCAGTTTTCCTTGTAGCACACTTATTGTTTTATTAAAAATTATTTTGAAAATTGTCCGCTACTGTTGCTTTTACATTTGTCTTCTTTTAATATATCAGTGTGGTTCAATCACAGACATGCTAAATCTTTTCACAGAATGACTTGAGTACAATTATGTTTATCGCCCAGTGAATCGATGATTTGCCCTATACTTTCAATTGATAATAAAATAGTTGCAAAAATGCAAATCAAATATTTATTTAACAGTTGTCTCCCCCATCGACATATTGATTTGGAATGGAATTTGTCTCGGGTGATTTGACAGCAGAAAATGCAACTTGTTGAGCAAGGTCATCATGGTCGCATCTGTCAAACGACTGTCATTTCAATGTCAAAGTCGTTAGCAGCGTTTTGTGTCAAAACACTTTAACCGCATTAATTAATTTTTGCTATAGATTTTACCATGACGAAAAAGAGTGTTGGCTTCACCATGGAAGTAAACAATATAAAAATAGTATTACAATAAACTGAGTGACCTAAATGATTATGCGTATAAAGTTAGCACGTTTAATTGCATTTGTTGTTGTGTTCGCCAATATTATTGTGATTTACTACAGTTTACGTTTGTTCGTTTCCTTTGGAGGTTTTAAATCGTATTACACAGTCCCTACAGTTAAGACCAGTACAAAATCACCTACGAAACATATTAGCAAATTAGTAACAATCATCATACGAGAATTTGAATCATTTGAAAATGATGTAGCTGCCACTGTGCAGTCTTTCTTAAATGTATTTCCAAATATTCAGTTGATGATAGTGTATGATTCGTCTCCTTATCCGCCCCTCGATATTAATTTAAAAAATGGCAGCTTTAGAAATTTAAAAACTGTTAATTTGTCACCGAGTCTAAAAGTTCCATACATTGAACGACATCCAGTATTACAAATCAAAACAAAATATGTGCTTTTTGTGCCAGACTCGACTAGAATTTCTTCCAGACAAAATCTGCAGTATATGATTGCAGAACTCTCTAAGCAACCAGAAAACATAATTGTAGTTCCTACTTCAAATAAAAAGGACTTAGGATGTCTTCGAATTAACGTCAATATTCGCGAGTGGACGCTGAAATACAGTCTGATAAAAGGCACCGTTTGTGATGGCGTCACAGGGAAACATTTGATTTTAATGGAAACAGAAATTTTGAAGAAATTGTCAGATCCATTTATTTTACCATTTCCCCATTCGTTATATATACAAACGGCACCCTTGCTTATAAAGGTAAAAAATTATTAGTAGGTGGCGTCTTGATTCTATCTTGTTTACTTTTAGATAAATATTTTGAAAAGTCCCTCATTTCAAGAAGGAAAACCAGTTTTAAGGTCACATCATGCACAATGGAAGCAGAAACAAGTCAATGCAAGTAGACTTAAAAATCTGTACACACTTTTCCAATTAAAACAAGTAGTCAGAGAAACAGGGGCCACAGAGTGGTATGGTTGCACTAGAGAAACTCCTCGCTGCTTTGGCCCCATATTGGATCTAATGCCTTCATATTTATTTGAAGGGAAATGGACACCTCCGTGTTGTCTTTCTAATCTCAGAAAAACAGCAAAACATGTATTTAATAGTTTAGATGAAGCTGGAATTCGTTACTGGTTAGAAGCAGGAAGTTTACTAGGTGCTATGAGAAGTGGAGATATTTTGCCATGGGACCATGATGTGGATATAGGCTTCAATCGTGATGACCTTTTAAGAAGTCCATGGCTAACCAAAGCCCAAGATAAGCCAGTTGTTGATTCAAAAGGCTTTTTGTGGGAAAAAGCTACAGGAGGGAACTTTTATCGGATTAATTATAGTAAGACTAATAAGATATATGTGAATTTGTTTCCATTTTATTGTAAAAATGGAACCATGACAAAGGATGCGTGGTACACCAGCCATAAGAATATGGAGTTTCCTGACAATTTCCTTCATCCAATGTCAAGTATTGAATTTATAGGACGCCAGGTACCAAGTCCAAATAATATTAGAGATTTTTTGGAGTTAAAATTTGGAAAGGGTGCTATTGAAAATCCTGAATATCCTAATCCTAGCAGACTTCCATTTCCTTAACTAAGTATTTTGTGATAAAGTATAAAGTAGTGTACCCTGTGATTATTTTTAAAAGTGATTTATTAATTTTTGGGTTACCCCTTTTCTAAGTTGATTAGAATTAACTATAATGTATATTGTATAGGCATGACCTACAAAAGTATGGTATGTAATATAGTGGATAAACCGTGAAATTTGAAATATTTTTTTTAGAGATAATTTCTTAAAACCGCACAAATTGTTATCTTTAATATTTTTCTCATTACTGTGCTCTTAGAAAGTAAAAAGTTTGAGGTCAATTAAATATAAATGGCCGTTTTAGCCTTGATACATACTTTATTCACACAACTGAAATATTTTATAACATTCAAGAATAAACAGGAGCTAAGGAAAAAATGTAATGCCACTGAAATTGAATTTCATAATTACCTGAAAAATTTCAGAGTTCTTGAAGTCAAAATAAAATTGGAAATAAAAACTGAATAATTTTAGTTTGCATTAATAAAAAAAAATTAATTGTATCTGCTTTAATATAGTTTTTGTTTTGATTTTTTTGAAGATCACAGTAGTGAGAAAATAGGGAATCACCTCCCTGTATATAGAAACGGTACCTAAGTCTGAGGGAGGGTTCAAAATAACATTAAAACTCTTGAAAAGTTAGTGGTTCAAAAACCGATACATTTATTTTCAAATATTCGTAAAAAAAATTGTAGTAATAATTACAGTGTAGAAATTATTTCTAACATGCTTTAAAAAAATGTATAACGTTTCAGTAAACTCACTTTACTCCATTCAAAATAATCTCCTGATAATAGTGTGCTTGTGCCCAAAGAATATTCTGCTGCTTATTATTTAGTAGAATGTAAAAAAACATTTTAGCAAAAGCAACACCCAAATAAAACAGATTGGCCTTGGTATAGTTTGTAATTGAAATACAAAAAAGAAATTAGTTGCCGAAAATTATGCATAAAAATTATAGAAAATAATAGACGATTCAGTTTTAAACAGTACAATTTCAAAACTGGTACAATAAATTTTGAGGGTTTATTAATTTTATTGTTGACGTGACTAATCTAATAAGGTAAAATTAATAAAAAAATTAACACTGATGCGTTGTGTATCAGTAATCAAGCAAAAAAGTCATGTGACCTTATAGCGGAATAGGAAAATTATAAGGCTGCCATGTGTAGTTTTCATTGTAAATATTGTGGAAAATCTAAACTCCAATAACATTAATGAGTTGAACTCCAAGAGTTGTTTTTTTTTATTTCGTCGGTATGAGTTTGTTTACAATTATAGTAAACCCAGTTGACTTGTAGCGGACAATAATTGTCCGTGTTAATAGGGGTGTAGCGTTTTACTAGGTACAAGTCAAATGAGTTTACTATACAATTTACAACTTTCACTAGACAGCAACAGATTACTTCGATTGTAAGGTAAAATTTTAATTAAAAAGCGTTAGGTACATTTCCCACCGAAAATCCAACAACAAAATTCCGTAAGCTTAATTTAAATAGTACCAGATTTTCGTGTTTAATTTTGTATACATTGTTCGTAGAATAAAAAAAGATCTGGTTTCAACTTATTGGAAAATAGCTAAATGTATGGGCGTGTAATACCACTTCCTGAAAATAATTCCTATGAAACACCCTACGCACAAATTTTAGCAAAACTAAAAAGATCTTCATGTTACGTAGGCAAAACATGGATGTGTTTGCAAAAAACTTGTGAAAATTCTTTGTACAGTTTTGAAAAAATTTCTAGTATAAATATATTAAAATAAATTTGCATACAACTTAATGGATCGTGCATGCTGAACTGTTGTAGTCTATTTTTTAAGCATTTTTTAAAATGTTGTATGTATTACGCTTACGTTTAAACCGAGTATCTGCTTTAGATACTTATTAGAATTTGCTATGCTGAGAATTTTGTACCTGTTAGCTAGTTGTGTCATCTGTGAGAAATTTTCATCCATTAAATTACAAATGTTTGTCTATAGTACATACTATGTTGCTCAATATTTTAAAATATATTTTTCTGTTACGTCATAACGTGCCAAATTGTTATTGTGTTAAGAAAAAATATTGTTTAGATATTTATGTAGAACTTTATTCAATGTTAATAAAGTTTATAGATTAAAGTACGTCTGTTCAAGATTCTATTGACTCTGCTGTATCCTCCGGAATGTCTAACGTTGCTGGCTCCCTGACTAGTGATAATAATTTATCTAATTTCATACACTGGAGAGTCCACTGATCTAGATGCTGTTGTTTCTTTGGGGCTTTACAAGGAATCCGTAAATTGGGTGATAATTTAAGCGTGGAAATACAACCTCTGAAAAATACGGGGTAAATTCAAATTACTGATTTTAATATTATAATATACTTGTCGTCCCCCACAATGATAATGGGTTGGATTGGATTAAATGTAATCCTGGTCAGTTTATTTCTCTTTTTTGATACTATTGCTTGCACACAAATTGGTTTGTATTTATTTACGTTTAAATCAAAAACGTAAACTTTTCCCTCATTAGTGACTGCTGCAAAAACTGTTGAAGAATAAGGGGCCCATTTGACATCTCCTACGCAGGCGCCTACATCGAAGACAAAGAGTGGTTCCCTCAAAACAAATATACACACTAAGAGTATTGCTAAGAATTATGGGAATAGATCATACAAACGATTATCTTCCCATATTTTAATTCTCCAGTCACCACTGCACGATATAAAAATATCTGAATTGTATCTGTTAAAATCTATCCTGTAAACGGGCATGTGGTGGGCTGGATATGTTAATAAAAACATAGAGCTGTAAGCTGTGCTACACTTGTAAATGTTACCCTCTTCTGTGCCAACTAAGTAAATTAAGGGCTGCTTCGGATGAAATTTAACGCAGGAAGCACATCCTTAGACATAACATAATAGACATCAATTTTTACTTCAAAGTGACTGTAAATGGGTACCTTTCATCTTTAATTTCGTCCCATCAGGCCCGAATACCTCATCTTTTGCCAAAAATAACGTAATTATTGTCGTTACAGCTAAGTCGTTTTGCATCAAGACCCAGTTGTTTATTTTTCCATCTTCAGAAACGGAGTAGAAATTCATTTCACCATCTGGTAAATCAGGAGCCCACTTAACCTTTTAAGAGTTATAGTGAGGCAAGTGAATTTCTATGTTCGGATTACTTACTTCCCAAACTATTCCTCGATGTTTGTTCGTAACATTGTTACTTCTAAATGCAGGCTGTTTGCAGGTTGCTTGTACATTGTAAACATTTACGCTTCCGTCGTATAATCCTATTACTACCATATATGGATATTTTGGGTGGGTGTCTACGCACATCACCGCAGAATCGGTCATGCAAATATATTCAGGAAAGGAAGGATTTTTTAAAGTGAACAAACACACAGCCCCTTCATCTAAAGGCTTCATGAAGTCCACTGGAAAGTAGTGTTTTTCATTACATCCGGATCTGCTGAAACATTAAAATCTTACAAAATCCAAAACAAACGGCAAAAAGATCGTAATAATGTGGGTTCCATTCAATATCAGTAACAGTATTTTTTCTAGTCTTGTCATACGTAAATTTCCACAAAGGGAGCAAAGTCCCTTCTTCATCTCGGAATTCATCAGAAGGATCTTCCCAGTATCGATAGTCTAAAATGAGATTATTCAGACGATATTGTGGTTGATAAAACCAATTACCTTTAGCAATATCGTCAAATGTGTTTTGATTAACCATTCTTTCTAGGACTTTCCAACATTCCAAAACCCGTCCTTGGACGGCTTCGCTCAATTGAGCCTTACCGACAAGTTTTCGCGTCATGGCTTGATGTCGTGATACTGGCGCCTTCTCTTTTTCTTTTCGTTCTCGTTCAAGCTCTTTTTCTAACTGTTGAGCGGCATAATCTTCTTGATAAGCATCATAAATCACCCACTGCAAAACGTTGGCCGAGAAGGTTCCCATTGGTGGTGGAGTTGTTTGTGTATCTTGAACCTTAATATTTAGTTGTAAACCTATTCAAAAGTGTGATTAAAAAACTTACTCTCACAGGATTATTGTACGTTAAAGCCGCCCTTTCACAAAAGTTGAACTGATTGGTTAATTTTTTCGGTTTGCCGCCGTGGTGGTGTTTTTCCTCTTCGTCTTCGGCTCTGCCTCCTTCACCCTCGATATCACCCTCACCCTCACCTTCACCTTCTCCTTCCCCTTCTCCCTCCCCGACTTCTGTTTCCTTTTCCGTGTCTTCTTCTGTCATTTCACTGTCGACTTCTGGTTTCTCTGATTCTTCTTCTTGTGTCTCCTCGTCACCAGGCGTTTCTTCTGGTATATTTTGAAGTTCATCAGGTTTTATTGTTTCTGCACTATCAGTTATTTCAAGAATAGAAGCTGTAAATACATTCATTTAATAATTTTTAAAACATGATTAATTAAATGTACGATCTAGTCCTTGGTCTTCTACTTGTTTTTTTGCTTCTTCTGATTCTTTGTGAATTTGCGTTCCTTGAGTTTCGTAAACTACTATCATAGGGCCGGTAGGGGGAATTAGTTCAAACGCTCCTTGAGCGTGGTTAAATTGTATTAAATTTTGTGGAATAAGCGGATCATTTGTACCCAGTTGTCTTGCTATTATGTCTTTTAATTCCTAAACAAAATTTATGTTGGGAGTAAGACAGGGACGGCTGATATCTTACGGGTTCTGTTAGCTCCAGTTGATCTTTTGGTCTCAGAAGTTGTTTGGATTTTTTCCATTCTTCCAAATCGTCTCCTTCGTCAACACGACTTTGACTGGGTCTTCCTTTTTTCTGAAAAATTGTCACTTAGGTTAGAAATGATAATTCTTTTTTTAATTTTACCAGGGACTTTGTATTAAAAACCTTTTTTAAAGCTGCAGTAGGAGGCATCTTGTTCTTTATATAATTATAATAAGTGAATTGTGAATTTCTATCCTGACATTACACATGCAATGTACGGTTATTTACATGTTGTCTTGACAACAGTGTTAGGTCAAAAGAGGTAAACAATGAAGCAGTGTATATTTTTGTTTGAAAAACACAATGAAATTGTTTGTTTAATTAAATATTCCTCTGTTAATCCGAAAGATAAAATGAATTTTCAAGCTTCATAGATAGCCGGCGTCAGAACCTTTTTATTGATTTTCCAGTAATCCTCAATATGCATCATGGCAGTTGTGTTCCTGATGTTGGTCTTTTAACATATTTATCTCTGCAAGTTACTTAGGAGTAATCTCTGGACAAGTTACGGAAATAATACTTTTTGTATTTGTAGGTAATTAAAACCTTATTAACCTTTGCTTATTCTAGCTTTGTATTTTAAAGTTATTTACAGAAAACATGTGATAGGACAGTATAGTAAACGCATTATTTGTTGATTGGTTTATTGAATAAAAGTGTAATGGAAGATAGTGGAATTGATAGTGGAGACCACAACGGGGACCCTTCTTTAAAACCCAGAGTATGTTTATTTATTTATTCGTTCAAGAACGGACCATCTGGTGGGGTAATTCAACGATATTGATAGACCTAATACACAGTATGTCGAATTATACAAAACGAAATGACTTATTACCTCGTCCAGGCGGTTCATAGTGTTATTTTTATTTTCTTATTATTGGTTTAAACTGCACCTAAGAAGTATTTACGACTTCATCGTCGTTTTACTTTGCTTAATTTTAGGGTAGTGACTCTTCTAGTGCTGACAGTAGTAGATCGCCTCCTCGGTCTCTGCCAACATCTCGTCAGCTACAAAGAAAACTAGAAGCTCGCATAGAACATGCTCGTAGACTACATCAGGAGTATCATGCAACACCCGGTCTTATTCCAATTCAAAGACTTCCAATTCCAGGCGCTAAAGATCATCAACCCCTTGTCCAGTGGGATACCGATGATAGGTTTGTTTTTATTTATATAAAAAATATTCATTAACCAGTTTGTTTAAATATTGCAGTGAAGAAGATATTGTGAATTTTTTTCCCTTATCTAGAAAGGAATCGCGAATTCATCAAGAGCTAACCGACACTTTTAGCATAGAGGAAATGAGCATATCAGGAGATGATGAAGAAGAGGAAGATTTACATCTAGTTCCTCCTCAAACGGTCTACAAGAAATTCGCTTGTTGTCCATTTTCGTTTTGTGTTATAATGTAGTCGGCGAAGACTGTTGATGATGTTTAATGGAAATGTATATGAAGTTGCAGTATTATTGGATTTTTCAGACTTGCTGATTATTGACTAATATTTTAAATAGAATTAAATATTATAAATGCAGTATTAGATCCTTTGGTCCTTATTTTCTAAAGGTACTTTTTCTTAAAATATATGAAAAGAATACAAGATGTGCAATTGGTATATGTGATAATTAAAAAAAAATACAATGAGATCTATATGTACCGTATTATGTGTATTACTTACAGGTATTCTGCTTTAAGTAGTTAACAATGAAATTACCTCTGTAAAGATTTGTGAATAACCTTTATATCTTTTGATAGACAATGTTATCTGCTTTTGACATTAGAGAGCATATAACACCTTATCTAATTATAGTATGTAATAGTCATGATCTCGAAAACATATAAATAAATTATTTATTTAAAAATATTTAAAGAAGGGTTGATTTGGTCACACTTTTTAAACATTACAATAAATGGATTGGTTGTTTTCACAGAGACGTAAAATATTCGATGTAGGTATGTTGTCTACTGTTTATATTTTGTTAACATAACAGTTGATTAAAAAAAAAAATAAAAAGTATGCAGCATAGTGAATGTTTGACCTTATTACCTCGATTTAAAATTAGTATTTCTATATCCTATATATGGATTTTGTTTTCGAATTTAAAAGCTTCAAAATATTGTTAACTATTTACAATGAGTGATTTTGTTTTGAAGAATTAGTTTTTTTTACAAATTTTACATTGAGTTAAAGAAGTCATTTTAAGGAAAACAATTGTATATTGGAGGTATTTTTGTTTCATATTTAGGTACCGTACATCTATGTCTTTAGGCAGAAATAGACCCACTCTCTCCAAATATGGATTAACGTTATTTTTTATGAATCATGAAAAAAGAAAATTAAAACACGGGTGGCGCAAACTGACGGAATAATATATAACAAAACTCACCGGAATAAGATCCAAATGTACGTCAACGCTGACTATTAATATAATGCCTCATAATTTTCTCTGGCTATCTTTATTTTTCTTTCTAGAACAATTTGAATTAAATATGTTTGTACGTAATCGTATTGTGCAGTTTTGTTAATATGGCAACTAAAAACTCAAGGCTTTAATGTCACTTTAGCAGTAAAGGTATTTCACATATGGTAGGTACCGACTGTAGGTAACTATTTTTTGTATCCCTTGTCTACACATAACTGTTCATTTAAACCTCCATAATTTGTTACCACTTTAATAAAAAACGATGTACAAAGCTACTTAGTTAAGAATTCTTTCGTTTTTGAAATGCAGTCATTAACACAAATCCGTCTATATATAGGTATATAATTGCCTATAAAAGGCAATGTCCCAACTGACCTATCAACGCCCAGCCCAAACCGCTAATGATAGAAATTTGAAATTGGGAGAGGATGAAGGCATCGTTTAAGAAGGTATTTCTCGAAATTCATCCCCTAAGGGAGTGAAAAAGGGTGGAAAAAGTAGCATAGGACCAATAGTTCTACTGTAAATCTACATTTTTACGTGAAACCCGGTATTAATGCTCTTCAACACAAATAATTGTTGAATTGTGGGTTGAATCTCTGAAAATGCGTATGTAAACATTTTCGGAGATTCAACCCCAAAGGGGGTGAAAAGTGGTGTCTAAGTTTGGGTGGCTAAGTTTGGGTGGCTAAGTTTGGATAGGAACAATATTTCTACTATAAATTGAAACTTGGTATTAATGCTCTTCAATACAAATAATGAAACCCGTATTTAAGCATTTCCAAAGATTCAACTACTAAGGGGGTAAAAGGAGGTGTGGCTAAGTTTGTATGGAAAAAATATTTGTATGGTGAATTTTACTTAAAACTTGGTATTAATAGTAATATTATATTTAATAAAATTTTGTGGTGAAGTCGGTTTATCAGTGGGAACAAACAGAATTTTCATAAATGTTCCTCACACCCAGTAACTTGTGAATTTCTTAGTAATGGTAGACATTTTTAAAGCTTTAATAAATGTGGTTAATACGTCATCTGCCACAGTAATTATCACATTTGAACTGCCGGCTCGTTCCGAAAACTCTCACCCTCGTGAAATGACCAATTTCTCACGAGTTTAACACTATAATAATAATAATAATAATAATCGTAATTTATTATCCAACAGACAAAGATCTATGTGGATACTTGTACATAATTCCGGATAAGTATACACAAATACATATAACAAAAAAAAAATCAATACAAAACAATTATATAACTAAACACTAATCACTAAAAAATGATATAACTCAACATGCAGGAACGTCAACTACAGTGGCGTAAGAACTGCATTTTTACACAGATAAGTGAAATGTTTGATATTCTGTAAAAAGATGTCTGCAAGTGCAGCAATATTATTGTAACTTCTGCACATATTATATATCGGCGAATAGAAATGTTGATTAGTTCTACACCAATCTATTGCAAATGTTCCAGTATATCTACAATTTAAGCGCGGTATGTGAAACTTCAGATTACCAAGCAGATTTTGTGAAAAAATTTTCCCGTGAATCAGCTTATGTAAAAATATAATATTTGCCACCGTTCTTCTATCCTTCAACGAGTATAGATTAAATTCATTGAAAAGAACTACGCTCGAACAAGTTCTTACGGGATATCTGCCAAATTTTACATAAAACAAATGTTTACAAAATTTTCTTTGAATACGCTCTATTGAAGATATATGAATTTTGTAGTATGGATCCCATACGACGGATGAATATTCCAGTTTAGAACGAATAAATGAATAATATAATACAAGCAAAGAATCAACATTGGTAAAACCGACAGTATTTCTTATAATAAACCCTAACATTCTATTAGCATGATCACAAATATGTTGAAAATGAGGTATAAATGATAATTTTGAATCAAGCACAACACCAAGGTCTTTAATTTGGAATACTCTATCTATTTCTGTATCGTTTAATTCATACTTATACAGGGTGTCCCAGAATTCGCGCCATTCCCGTGAATGACATGTTCCCTGTCCCGAACTGTGCCGTAATTCGCAAAAAGAATTGTCCAGGCTTTAACCGTGTGAGAACTGGAAGGCGATTAAGTTGACCAATAGAGAGGCTGCTTTTATATCCGAACGTTTCTATGTTCAAAGTTACCTATGCCAAGAACAAAAAATCGGGTAATACTAAAGTTGAATGAATTTTTTTCGAATCCCCCTCCGTCAACAAAAGGAAACAGAAGTGTGGTTATAAATTTAATCATTTTGACAATTGTTTGTCATAAACTGTCACGAAGTTCATCACTGACCTGAACAGACGCTTCTGCCCCCAAAGATGACTGATTAATGTACACAGAGACGTCAAGGTTTACTTTAAGGCAAGTAGCATGGCACAGAAGTTATTTCTGCTGCCATTCTAGTTAAATTGTGTTTAACTGGGCTGTACATGTCATAAGAGAAGCTGTTTCATTTCATCGTAGGGGCAATTTCATGGTGTCGGACGTAAAATTTGGAACACAAAATACAATGTAAAAGCCTCCTGCATCAATTCATAATAATTTTGATACTATTATTGCTAACGAAACATCTAATAAGACATCGTAGATTATAAAAATAATATATTTGCAGCAAATAGTTCCCACATGTTTAAGCGAGAATCTTACATATTTTGGTGTCGGACGTATTCACACAAAACCATAACCAAACAGTGAGTTGTATGAACGTAATTTTCTGCGAATTTTGGAAATATTCGAAGTATTGAGAGAAATCATACTATGAAATGATATGTTTAGAATACACCTATAACGTCAAACCATAGTTAACAATTTAATTTGTATATTTTAAAATAATTTAAGTTTGGTGTCGGACGTAAATTTATGGTGTCGGACGTAAACTTATCAAATAAAATTATGCAAATAAAATGGTTTAAAGGTATATTTAACTAGAACAACATTTAATTCTTAATGAAAACAAACTAATAGGACTAAACATTTATTTTTACTCACCGAGGAGTATCTCCAGACAACTCACTTATGAGCAAATCGCCTTTTCCACAAGGCTGCACAAAATGAAGAGATTGACAATCAGTAATAGACTTCGCGGTTTTCGATTGGTGTCGTTTAATAAATGTGTGCCAGAAGAACTGTTTCAGTTTAGTCTTCAGTTTTTGAAATATTTGTGAAGATGTTTCAGATAAATTGATTTTGTCTGTGCGTCCATTGATATTTTGCCACTGACAGTACTCTAGCACTATTTCTTCAGTTCGCAAATATTTTATTACGGCATAAATCACAAAGTTGTAACATACAATCTTTCGAAGAATCGTCGCAAACGATTTGAGAAATAAATTCTCCAGTATTTGTTTTTAGATCTGTGCACTTTGCAAGTGTATCGAGTAAAAGTTTGATATTTTCGTGGTATATACAAACACATACCGTATGTGGAAGAGATCGAAAGAGTTTGCAGTGTTTTGGTCGTAAAAGAGTAAACTTTGTAAATCCTATCTTTATATCTGAATGTACAGTCTGAAAATGTGAGTACGTTTCTTTTAATGACGACAATAAATATCTTGCTTGTTTTTCCACCTTTTTCCCACTTTCTTTGTATACAACTTTATCTTTTTTTCCAGGAGCTTGCCAACTGACTTCGTCTTGTTCCTGAAAGTTTTTCACAATATCTGAATGATTGTCCTTTTGTAACGGGAAAATAGGCGGACCGTCGTTAACATCTATTTTGTACTGTGAAGCCAACTGATAAATCACTTCTTTCAGCTGACTTTGGCAAATTATTAGTTACCTTCTTTAAAGCTTTTCCCAATGCTTGTCGACTTTTGTAGACGGTTGATAATTGTTCAGTAGAAGAACTAGACTCTACATTTTCTTTACTTTTTTGCTTCTTCATTTTATACCAGTTTTTCATTCTTTCGCATTCCTTTAATTTCAATTGTTTTAGCTGGTATGCTGTCATTTTTTGATTACGCTTGGTCCGGTACTCAATTTTCCTTAATCTGTCCTTTTCCAGGTATGCTTTTTTCAATTCAGGATTACTGTTTAATTTTGCCCTTCTTCTTGCCATTTTTTGCTGATTTGTTAACGCCATTATTTAACACGCGTATGCAACAATTTATACATAGATACATTTAGAAAATGTCAAAAAAATAATTTCGAACCCGCCTAGGCTTGCGTAGGTTTCTATGTTCTGCGTGACGAGACTTTCGAAATTTAGAAATAGAAATATTTTACGTCCGACACTACTATTTTACTAAAGACCGTCAGAGTATACTTGAACTTAATTATCTCAAGAGTTGTATCATCTAAAGGTTGCATTATATCCGGTAAACTGATTAATTATTATTTCAAATTTACATGTGGCAAAGATATTTTGTATTTTTTTTGGTGTCGGACGTAAACGCTTTCAGTAAGTGTATTTATTTTATTCCTTTTGTAATAACTACCCCAAATTGTATTGATTAAATTCGGGTAAAGTAACACCTGACAATCATTATTAAGAGCAATATTACAATTTGTCTTGATTATAAAGCGTAATA